CCTACAAGTGCCCTCCTCCATGCCCATCACCCCCCTTCCCCTCTCCCCCACTCCCATCAACCCTCAGTTTGTTCTCAACATTCAAGAATAATTTGAAATGTAGTCGCTTACTTTTTTTTTTTTTTAAACAAAGATGTTAGGCATATCATCTCTGTCACTAAAAATATTTAGGTCTGGAGGCACCTGGGTGGCTTAGTAGGTTAAATGTCCAACTCCGGTCATGATCTCGCAGTTCATGGGATTGAGCCCCCACCAGGATTCTGTCAGCTGGGAGCCTGCTTGGGATTTTATCTCTCGTCTCTCTCTGCCCCTCCTCGCCCCTCCCGTGCTGGCTCCCACGTTCTTTCTCAAAAATAAATAAATAAATAAATAAATAAATAAGATTTAGGTCTGCTATTTTGCAAAAGGACATATTCAGAACCTAAAACACATGAGGTGGTCTCCTTGTGTTCAAAGTGACCTGAGGAATGAGGGTCTGAAACATAAACTCTACATATGTCTGTGTGCTGTATCAGGAAGGGATGTGTGTGGCTATTGCTGCTTTTCTGTCATGGGCTGTTACTGGTTTGGCGATCACAGCAGGAGGGACACTAAGGAATGGGGTAATGATGAAGAAACCATGTTGTGCTAAACACCTAATCATAAGTAATATAAATTCATTTCTGAGAATCACAAAAAAAGCATGAAGAAGGAAATCACCTATCATTCCATTAACTAGAGCTCAAATATTAGCTGCTGAAGCAACACCATACCCTTCCGTCAGTCAGTGCTGCAGCGCGATTTTTTCCACCCCGCCGAAACAAGTTTGGCTCCCAAGCATATGCCGTCCACAACACAGGTAGGGGGTATGGGGACCGTGTGAATGCTTGTGCGGACAAGGGATGTTAACAAACATGTTGGACAGACTGGGTGGGGATTTTGGCCAATTCGAGAATGGAAGTCTTCTCAGAGGTGAGCATATTCAGAAATGTGTCCTATTTCCTGCATACTGTGAACCACTATAGCTTTGATGGGGAGAATGTCTGGAGTTCAGGGTAGAGTGAGGATGAGCAATATCTTGGTATTTTCAACATGGGATCACAGACCAGAGATTCAGGTTCTATCGAGTGGGGGGGGGGTGAGCCGTACATATTGTCTAAAACACTTAACACACCAAACCACACGCGAGTTTCACTTTCATGATACCTTCCATGAACTGGGTGCAGCTGAATGCTTCTAACTACTTATACCAGCTCAAAATAGCAACTTGAACCTAATGGGATACCTGGTGAGTAAAAAATAGAACCCATATATAAAAATTAAAAAGAGGGGCACCTGGATGGCTCAGTTGCTTAAGTGACCGACTCTTGGTTTCGGCTCACATCATGGTCTCACGGTTCGTGAGCCTGAACCCCGTGTTGGGCTCTACAGGTGGCAGCAAGGAGGCTGCGTGAGATTCTCTCCCTCCCTCTCTCTCTCTCTCTCTCTCTCTGTGCTCCTCCCTCATTCATGCTGTCTCTGTTTCTCTGAAAATAAACTTTAAAAGATAAATTTTAAAAAGAAATAAAAGGTTTCTTTTCAGTATTTTATGCTTGCATCTCAACTTTGAGACACTATAATGGGTGGGTGAGGTCAGAAATAATTATCTCAGGAACCTAGACATGTCACAAACAAAATCAAGCATTCCATGGTGTCCGGCAAAACAGAGGAAGAGTGCCTACTGTCTAGGAACTAACCATACCATCTGTAGAAATTCAATGGATTTGTTCCAGAAATACTGTACAAGTCACTGTCTATCCACAGGTAAAACAGTCAATTTGTACACATTTGTAGCAGGTGCCTAATAACCTACATGGACATACTTTACAGAGTTAATGAAATCAATGAAATAAGTAAATGTGCTAACAGAGGACCCTGAGCAAACCCTAGTGTAGCCTCAGAAAGTTGTGTGGCCCCTATAAACCATTTCTCTGCACCAGATTTCACCACCCTGTCAAAGAGGTGTGGACGTGTTCTATGTGCAGCACATGCAGTAGGCTCTCAATAAATGGAAGATGGTATTGGGTGAGTCACCATTTGGATAAAAGTCAGCCTAAGTAACATCTGATTGTCACAAAAATACTGGCAATTTTAGTTCTGAAAGCTGTAAAACAAATTTCAACACCAGTTCATTTTCAAGACAACTGTTAGAAGGATTGCAGCGAACAGCCTTTCAGAGGAGGCTGGAATTGACCACTTATGTAAGATGGCTGCGTTTTATTATTTGTAAATTATCTCGATAAAGTTGATTTCATCAAAGAAAACGTTTGTAATCCATGAGCTCTAAATTCCTCCTGCAAGTGTAAAATGCCATTATCTCCCAAAGTCGGGTGATTTGCCCAAGGTCAGAAATGATGCTGGATTACCAGCTTTTGAGTTTACCACCACATTTGAATTACTGAGAAAACCCCAGAAATACGATGATGGAAAGTGTAATGAACTCCTACTGAAGGTACAAACATCCATTCATTGATAGTTCATAATTAGCTTTTTATCAACCACGTTTGTGGTTTCTCATTACAGAGCAATTAAAAGTAAGCCAGTAGAGAATGCAATGTAATGAAATGGAAATATGGGCAGGGTACATTACCTTTAGGTGAAAAAAAGCTGATTATAAAACAGAAGCATCCATCCAACTTTTGTAAAAATGTATAAACACAAAGCATGTTTTTTTTAAGTAGGCTTCACACCCAGCGAGGAGCCCAGTGTGGGGCTTTGAACTCACGGCCCTGGGATCAAGGCCTGAGCTGAGACCAAGAGTCAGACGCTCAACCGACTGAGCCACCCAGGTGCCCCACACAGAAAAAAAACAACTTTGGAAGATACCTACTAGATTATGAAACATTAGCTAACTCGAAGAGGTGGGTTATAGATGATTTGTCGTTTTTCTTTTTTGTTCATTAGCTTGTCTATATTTTTAAATTTCGAAAAACAGGAACAATTACTAATTCTATAATAATTTTTAAGTAAAAGTGAATTAAAATATCACAACTAGAAGTCACTGTGATTAAAAGTAAAACATCACAAGTGGGCTGAATCTATGTCAGCCCAAGGATATAATCAGGAGGCCCAGAGACAAGTTCAAATTAGCTCTTGACTGACAGATTACTAGTTTCTCCTGAAAAATCCGAAGTCCTGAGAGTGCGGGGCTAGGATGACCTGCTCCCCCAGCAAAGCTGCCATGTACTTCAGATGAGGTCTCCGCTTGCTCATTTGCCAAAATATAAGCATTTAAGTTTTCCACCTGTGGTCTAAACAGCGCAGCATTATAAACCAGAAACATTCTGTAGGAGATGAAAATGTACCACTTGAAGGTTAGCTGATCCCAACTTCCTTGAAATTTTTAAAGAGTGTGTTGTAAACATATGTGCATGTGTACACATACACACCCCACACATGCACACATACTGCTAGACTAAAATGACATAGTATTAATTGAAATGTACTAAGTATCTCTGGCCAGTAGAATTTTAAGGGACACCTTTTGTTTTTCATACCCTGCATTTTTCAGATTTTCTAGAAGGAACTAATTTCATTTATGATTAGAAAAAGTCTAGGAAAACAATTTCTTAAAGTAATACCTCTTACCCCATTCTTGAATATCTCTAGAACTGCAATCCATTAACCAATGAGAATCTATCACAGCAAGTCAGCAACAGCTACATACACGTGCACACTCATACGTGTGCATGCAGGTACAGAATTTGATCACCCTGATTCCCATGGGCTGGGTCACATAGCTTGAAACCCAAAGAGTTCACCTTATGCATTTCAGTCTGTAAATATGTCCATTCACAAAGAAGCCAACTTAAAAAAATTGTTCTAGTAGATAAGACATAACTTTTTTTAAAGTGAGAATCATTTATTTTTTTATTCTTTGCTTTTTTAAAATACAATTTATTGTCAACTTGGCTAACATACAGTGTACACAGTGTGCTCTTGGTTTTGGGGGTAGATTCCTGTGATGCATCGCTTACATACAATACCCAGTGCTCATCTCAACAAGTGCCCTCCTCAATGCCCATCACCCATTTTTAATTTAAAAAAAAAAAAAAAAAAGAGGGGCACCTGGGTGGCTCAGTTGGTTGAGTGTATGACTCTTGGTTTCAGCTCAGGTCATGGCCTCACAGTTCTTGAGTCTAAGCCCCACATCAGGCTCTGCGCTCACAGTGTGGAGCCTGCTTGGGTTTCTCTCTCTCTCGGTTTTTCTCTCTCTCTCTCTGCCCCTCCCCTGCTTGTGCTTTCTATCTCTAAATAAATAAATCAATAAATAAATATTTTAAAAATCCTAGCAATCTATAAAAAACAACTTGTCATCATGTGAGAGAGAAGTCATTCCAGATTATTCTCCAAAGATCTAAAATGGTATTGAGTGGACTTTCATCAAGCATTAAAAAGACTGATGTCTTCTTCTTATCTGGAGGCTGTGTGTTTGTTCAAAAAATTCCCAAGTCATGAGGGGGGAAAATTGTCAGGCTGTCACACAAACACAAAACAAGACACAGTAGAGAAATCATTTAAATATTCACACTGATGACCCGACAGGCTTAGAAATTATAAGCACTAGAAAGACTGCAGAAGATTCCCAACACTACATTCGTGCTTTGGCAAAAAGAACGGTCTTTAGTTTCACGGGGAAGAAATCAATAAGAACAACTTGAAACCGTTTTCCTTCTCGGCGGGAAAAACAATTGCCATAAATTGCAAGTATTTTTTCCATCTTTTTGGGCAGCAAAGAAAACTACCGAGACCCTTTGGCCCTCTCAGGCATAGTGAATTTTCAGGAATCAATGACTTTCTAAAACTTACTGTTAAAGCACCTCTGTTAAAAAAAAAAAAAAAAAGCGGTCCATTTTGGATACAAAGGCATCATTTTCGCCCTTTAAACAAATGAGTGCTAGATTCAGACCACAAAGGACTGGCACAGGACAAACTACCTTATCCAACAAGTCACCTGTCGAGAAGCAGGGTCAGTTCCTTACCTAACGACTGGTAGAGCTCTGTCATTTTGGGATGGTCCCAGCAAGTCGTTTGGGTCTCGTGGCTAAAACAGAAAATACAAAGAGAGATTTTAGAATCTGTAATGGGTAGGAAAGGAAAGGGAGGGGGGAAAAAGTACAGTTTGCTTCTAATTCATTTGGTATCGTTCCTTCAAAGCGCTTCGGTCATGGAGTCTAGAATGTTTCTTCTAAGCTTCTTTTTGGCACCCACAGGTCGGTTGTGCTTCTGTTATAATAAAATGCAATGCCTCTGTTAGGTGATCAATAAACAAAGCCCAGGATTTCTTCACCGGTGCAATGGAGGGGATTCAGAAAGGGCTCAGACAAGTGGTGCTCAACCCGGCCAAAGAGACGCTGGACATTGGTTGAAATCAACACACTGCTCTCACTGCCCTTGACATTTTCCCGTTGCTCCTTCTCCTACACATCCATACCCACGATAACCGCATTTCATTCCGGCCTAAGGTATAGCCAGGGTCCGACGGATCTATCCTTCCCTTCCCTCTCTCCGTGACTTTGCAAGAGCCTCGTTTCACTCGGTGTGCCACACAGCACTCCACAGTTCTCCTCCATCTGTCAAGTCTCGCTAAGTGTGACTGCCGGCTATCAGGTCCCGGCCACAAGAAGAACAAAACACCTTTGTCCGTAATTCAATTACAAGAATAAATCTGGGCAGAGATAACTACATATACTTTTCCTTACTTTGGCCCATCTACATAAATCACCAGAGCATCGTATTTCCAGTTTGGGGGGGGTTGCGTGACGGGCCGTGATACGGTAAAATGCAGCCCTGAACATAGACATTTCGACAGTCCTACACTTTTGGGGGTTGGGAGGAGGGCATGGCGAGAAGAGCAAAAGCTTGCACGGGGACACTCGAAGGGCGGCAACAGAGTACAGAGGCCCGACACAGGGAGAGGAGTTTGGGGGAGGCAACAAGGTCAAGGGGCCTCAGCACAGATTTCGCATCTGAGGACTGGATGGATTCTGGCTGTGTGCCCTACGAACGGGGCAATGTGGCGCAAACCTGCTCACCGGGGAGCGTCAGCGGGTTCAGTGACCAGTGCATTCTGGTGCTCAGTGCATGGCTGCTTTCATTACTACGTGGGCCCCAGGTGAACACCCACTAAAATTGAACGTTTTATTAGCTGAGGACACTACAGATGTGGATCCACCCGCGGTAAGAATGCTGAGCCTCGGACCCTTGTAGAGAACAAAAACCACTCAATGTATAAAACAAAAACCTGTTTTTGTTTTGTTTTGTTTTTTTTAAAGAACTTAAAAGGAGAAGTATCTATTGTGGTCTGCCAAATACAATAAAACATGTCACAAAGCATGTGGAAATTCCCCAAACTGTCTCCCTCCAAAGAGCACCCCCTGTGATATTCACCATCCAGTGACTCGACAGTGAGGGCGCCCAGAAAAAAGTTACAAGACACTGTGCACTTGGAAAGGGCCGGCTCGGTATCTCCCAAACACATTCACTTCTGGTTTACTCTTCCACAGCGACAACTGGCAGGTGAGGACCGCAACTGGGGCTTCTCAGGGGAGGGGATGTGTCAGAGTGACGTCCAGGTCTTTAAGGGCAAGGAGAGCAGAAGACCCAGGCAGCCCAAGGCCAGGGGGTGTGAGGAAGCCCCACCACCGAGCCGGTTTGTGATCTGGAGAAGAGGTGGGTGGAAGCGGTCCTTTACATGCACATCACAAGGAGGCTGCAGCTTGCAGCTTCGTGGACAAAGTGTTGCTTCTCCTCGGGTGGCTTTTAGCTCGGAGAGTGACAGCGTACCAGATCTGTACAGAAGTGCCCGGCAAGGAAGGACCACCCTGCATTCACGCCTTCATCACTTCCTAAGGCCGTGCACACTGGGGGCGCCAGGGATGGAGGAAGGGGCGAGAGGGGGAGAGCACGCGTGTCCACACACAGAGGCTCGTAATACACACAGCGCATGGTAATCAAGTCCCGTCTCCACGCCGTGTGGGAGGACTGTGGCATCCTCACTAGATGGGCAGGAAAACGTCTGTCTGAGCTGATAAACCTGGCCAGACCAGCACTCTGAAAAGCCACCATCTGTAAGGGATGTCAAGTCGGAAGAACACGGCAACTCGTACCAAATGCAATTCCAAAAGAAAAGAGAAACTTGCATACAAAATAAACCTCATGACTGGTGATATTCCAACATTTTTACCTCGTCAAGGCAGTTATTCCACTAGTTTAAAATTATGAGAAGGATTCTAAAAACTCTGCTTTAATTCACATCAGTCCTTAGCTAAACTGCTACTTGCTTTGCTGGAGGAGAGAAGAAATTCTAAGCCCCCACTTCTAATCCCTCCATGGACTGCTGGATGCCAGGCCCTTCCAGGTACTCATTTTCCCACTTACCTGTGATTCTGGGGGACTTGTATAATCCATATAAATGAACTCAAACAAATCCAAAAGCCAATCTTCTTTTACCTTCTTCTCAACATGCAACCCTTTGCTTCATAAGCAATGCCAAGTAACCAGAAAACACGTTTGTACTTCATGTTTACAGTCTTAGTTGCACATCGATTACAAACCAGAACCAAGCAGAAGAAGTGAACACAAGTGGAAAGAGAAGAAAGGGTGTGACGAATCCTCAAAAGGAGAAAAATCATCTTTTAATCATTTAATGCTAAAAAAAAAAAAAACGACTGACCACACAGCTCAAACTTCTGATTCTTTGGTAGCTAGAAGATGAACCAAATATTCACTTCACTGGATGTGGGTGTTTTCAGTGTGGGGTGAAGTCAAAGCCCTAGTGGGACATATTTAACCCCCAGAAGAGACAGAAAAGATGAACAGGGACAGTATGAAATGGTATGCACAAAGTCCCCACCCTCTCTTACAGGACAAACCCTTTTTTTTTTTATGTGATCAACAGACAGATTTTACAGCTGTGTTTATTACTCTGTGTCTAAGTTCAAAAACAGGAGAGAATTCTCACCAACTCCATGAAAAGCTCAGGTCTACCTGGAATACACAGAAAAGACAGAAAAAGATAACCGGGCTGGGAGGTAGTCACGCAAGTGTGGGTAGGGCTGTTTTTGGTAGGGGTCTGTCTCTTTTTTTTTTTTTTTTGTACTTCACTTTTCACATCAGAAACACGCTCTGCATACACCAGGCCCAAACAAAAAGGCCTCGGAAACCTGTTCCCAAGTTAATGGGGTCCATCTTTGTTCAGTCTTCTGAGCATAATGACGTTTGACATAGATCAAAATGCTGTATGCCCATTAACACAGAGCCTAGCTGCCTAAATAATCCTTAAAACGCCCTTTAAATCTTGAAAAACTATTATTACTGATTTTAGCCCTGCTGGTTCCGAAGCCTGGCATCAGACAGGCCTCTCTGAAAGGCCTTCAAACTCTGATTTCCCCTTTAAAATGTGTACAGACTACAATAATCTCTCTTTGCTCTTCTATTTGAGGCTATGATAGGAAGCTGATGCAAATTAACATACAAAATCTCTCCACGTGACAAAAGACCCCAGCAACACCTACCTGTCAATAGTAAGAAATTAAAGCATTACTCTACTGAGCACAAGGCTGACCTAATTTCCTACCATACAATTTAAATTTTCTCTCACCTTCTTTAGTTTCAAGTAGTGTGCAAGGTTATTATAACGGCCTCAGAGCTGTTCCTGCTGTCGGTGCTGGAATAATCAGACTTATTGGAATTGCTTTTTTAGTTTCTTAAAAACAAACATTAAACACTTACAAAAAGTAACAAATTTCTACTTCTCTCGCTGGGGAAATGGCAGTTGCCTAATTAAAATAAGATTTCTTCTGCCACCACTGGTATTGGGTACTGAAAATATTCCAAACAGTTGCCGTTTAAAAAAAAAAAAATCTCTTTCCACTACTTCCCGGGGAGGAAACTCATCGCTAGGCAGCGGTATAAAAAGGTACCGTTCTCGAGCGATTTGCAGAGGATTAGAGTTTGGCTTCATATATAATCTGGAGCCCACTGATCCACACACACAAAATCATTTCTCTTTAATCTGGGGATCAGACTCCTTTTCTACAGGAACCTTGGCATTTGCATGCTAAATGTTAAACTTGGCTTGCACTGCTGGAATACTGGCAGGGTGGGAATGGGAAAATCTATTTCAAAGTTTCTGCTACCGTGGGGAGGAGGTCTCACGGGCTTGGGGGGGGGGGTCCACCTAAGCATCAGAAATCCTATTCCAGTCCCCCTTTCTTGTTCCCTGGGATATTTAACATTTCGTTCTGTCTGCCTCAAGCCAGGCCAAAGGTGATTGCCTCGGTGATTGTGCCAGCTGTTACTTGTCATCCCTCTATTTGCTTTTTGGGCTTAAATCCCACCCACCCTCAACTTTGGCCAAAGCAATTTCACTTCGGGGTCGTGTCCAATCCAAGATCAAACAACGCTGACTGAAACCAATTCCACGGTGATCAAGGGTCAGAGACCTTTCACGTAACCATGTTGTTCCATTTGCTCCTCTAGCTTCTCCAAGAGAAACTGTATCCTGCAAAAAGGGGATGCGGCACAAGGAAATAAAAAATCTAGCCAAGAGAGAAAGGGTGATGGGGAGGGGGGGGCGGGTGGTGACGAGCATAGGTGACAGGGATAAGGAAGCAGGGACACCAAGAGGAGCTTTTTGGCCAAGGAAGAAAGCACATTTCACTTAAAAGACTCTGGTTCCCCACGTAAGTCAGGTGCACTTTTTAAAAATGACGTTAAAGCATTTTATAATTAATATTGTGCCTCCCTCGGGCAACTGGCCCCTTTCAATTTAAGCTTCAAACTTAACTTCAAATTTATCGGAGATAAACAAAGCGTCCTGCCCTTTTCGTCGCCACGAGCAGATCAGGAATGACAAACTTTGCTGAAAGACGAGCACAGACACCTGGGGAAACGCGAGCGAGCGAAGGACACCCACCAACGATCGCACGCCCAACCCCAGAGGGCAAAACAAAAAAACAATAACAAAAACCCTTGATCCTCTCTCTATGTCAAATCCTTGACTTCTGGGCTTTAATTGCTTTTTCTTTCTTTCCCGGTTTC